TTTCAGTTGGTTGTAGCATGAAGCAATTGCTCACAAAACCGAGGCTGATGAGGATGGATTTCTAACAGCTACAGTCATTATCGACAAAGCGCCTACAGCAAGTTTGAGAAGGCGAGTTCTGTGACCGGCAGTGTGCATATGTGACGAAAAATATCTAAGTGCCATGAAAGCAACCTTCCAATATAATATGCCGGCCGCAAACGAAGCACGATTTTTTCGTTCTAGAACCAGAAATGCAATCGTTTGACGGTTCTTTATCGAGCTAGGAGCATTAGGTTTGGAATTTAGTTTGTATATCCTTCATTCAACAAACAAAAAAAATCGACTGCCGGCCATTTAGTCATTTGAGTTCTGTGACCGGCGGCTGCCGGTCATTTAGACACTTCTTTTTTAAATTGCAGCTATACAATAACACTCCAATATCCTATGTCAAAACRAAATACGGCAACAATAATACCGTCCTAGTGCACGAGTCACAAAAAACAAATCAAAACGTGAATAAGCGTAATACATCTGATAAGGACTAAAACCTGATTCGTAAAACTAAATACGAATGCACGTTTGCATAAATAAACATTAGTTAGCATGGCGATACAGTGAAAATAAAAACGATTGCAGAAAAAAAATATAAATGAAGGCGAAAGAAACTGTAAAACAATAATGTAAATAATATTTCAGTGCAAGTGTACACGAATCTTATGCATTAAAAAACCGGCTCAGCAGAATTTAAAGCGACCAAAACACGTGCAAACCACAAATCATATTCATATGTTTTTAGTTAAACTAATTAATGGCCRATTAATTAAACCGTTAACGACAGGAATTAAAAAATTAAATGACAACACAAGACTCACCCACGTTCTTCGTCAATCATTCTTACAGGCTGTAGAAGTTTCTCCGAATTCAAACTTGTTTTTCAGCCTTTAGATTTGGTAAAGCCAGCGAGCTAGGAAAAACACGTGCGACCCGTAGAAGGCTAGAATATATTAGAATGACTTATATATGCTAATTAGGGGTCTACGCGCGTGTACCATTTGTCGGAAGTCAAAGTTTCCCGCTCTTTTCTTAGAGTAGGAAACGAATTTCCAGCCGGATGTGGATTGGTTGAAATGGTAAGCAGCCCAGTTCTCATACATTTGTACCAGTGAAAACGCCGAGAATGCACATTAATTTTTAAAACAAACTTACATTAATATATTATATATATACACTCGATTGCAGAAACGTTGTAGTATACATTTATACATTTATACAAATACCTAATGAGATGCATATTGCAATTTTACTTTTTTAACCCTCAAAACCAATTAATTTATAATCTGTAGGATATAAAACACAAGAATAAAATATTTTGACGTTCATTGAATGTAACAAATAATAAATAAAGCTAATTTTCTGTTTTGCATATCATTAAATACTGAATAAATGAGGTATTTGTATAAATGTATACTACAACCTTTCTGCAATCGAGTGTATATATATATATATATATACCGAAAGATATGGTTTAGGAGTTGCCGGATTAGTAGATTCAAGAGTCCTTGCRCTGGATGTGAACTTCATGCTTGCAAAATAATTAACATATGCCTTGATTTGGGAAAGAGTAAAGAGGCCATTCCGAAGGCGCAAAGTCACAATCTATTTTTTCATGGTATATGAGGACAATTGTAGAAATGCAACTGGGCTCCCTGTGGTATTTTCACCTGCGTCGTACCACAGGCAGTACATACTTTTAAATAGTAAACAATAAACGCACACCATCAATATATATTTTTGAACACAAATAAGAATCACTAATCACGTTTTCTGTTTTCACTTGAATAGCATTGATCGATGCTTGGAAACGGTACAGAATATCCATTCGTTTGGAATAAAGACTATATATTTACCCCTTGCGGTATATATTGTAACTGTACGCCGCTCTATTTTCTGTTTTAGATTGTCATCTGAAACGAAGACAAGTGAGGAGCTTTCGAACGTCTTTTTCGATTCCTTGTTTGAAAAAGAAGAAACGAAATGGGAAAATAAGTGGAATAAATTCACAGATTTTCACCGAGTACCCTTTAAAGTATCCTTTTCATAAAAGCCATATTTTTTCATTAATCTTTCAAAATAGCTACACCAAAGTAATTTTTCTAGTGATGTTAGACTTTTCACATTGATTTCAAGTCGAAATAATGAAGCAATTTTTTTCGTCGATCCGACACTCCACCTTAGAAAAGTCCGATCCAAGAAAAGAATCCAGATTCATATTTTCCACAATTTTGGATTTTGAGGCAAAAAGTAACATATTCTAAAAGAGCAAGTGAAATAGGTGTCAATGGTGTAATTTGTTTTGTTTTGTTCGTAAAAGAAATGGTTTTACGAGCATCAACAGTATCTACCCGAAAGCCTCTTGTACGCCTATTTAACACACCCACCTCCCCAACGGTACTAGGTACTACAATTGGCCTTTCTGGGGCCAAAATCTAGCTCTTACTAACGTTACTAATCAGATTACAAGGGTGTCCTTTCTCCGCAAAACCAGACCAAACATGCTAAAGTCCAATGCGATCTCTGTTTTAGCCGTCCTGTGACTTTGATCCCGCGCAGGGTATCGATCAAATTCTACTAGAGACTTTCCGAGCACGGTATAAAGTCTATGGTATGGATAATCGTACTATATTTGTCACTCCCCTTTTTGGAGGTGTTATCGCAAAGATCACGGCATGATGGCAAGTATGTGCCTTGTCTATAGTCCCGGACTCACTTTCAAGCAGTAAAGTCGCGCTCGGAGCAGAGAAAATAATTTTTTAGCTTGTTGGAGCGAAGTCCAGCGCTACATTCATTCTGTACCTTGAGTTTGTCACGGTCATACAGGATCTACTCTATAATTTGTCCATCCTTAAAGTGTTATGAATTGAAAAAAAAAAAAAAGGTTTCCAAATGGCTTTAAATGTGAAGCATTCAAGGTACGGATATAGACGACTACATCCCGGGCGAAGAGGGTCACCCCAAAATGTAGTAAATGTATGTAAAACTGGCTGTGAGGGGGCTGTGAAATGCACTCTACGCCCGGGATATAGCCATTTCCTCAAAGCACGCTATTTCATCACAAGCAAAGCCTATTATTCTTTAACCTTTCAGTTGGTTGTAGCATGAAAGCAATCGTACACGAAACCGAGGTTGATGAGGACAGATTTCTAACCATTGCAGTCATCATGAACGAAGCGACTAACAAAACATTTGAGAAGAAGTTTGGAGACATTTTATCTCGACATTTTAGCCACTGTCTAAAGTTAAATCTTTGCTTAAATCTTAAAAATATATTAGCCTTTTGTGAAAGAAGGTGCATAGCCGTAAAAAATTCGATTGGGTTTGTTTTGCGCTTGTTCTTGATTGCAATCGAACGCCTTCAACAGTTACAGAACACTAAGTCAAGAGTGAAACGCAAACTATGACATCTCAATGGCCGGGCATGAATGTGAAAGATCCCTATAGAAATTTTATTTTGAAAGGAAAGATTTATAAATTAAATTATTATTTCCTTTGGCGTTTTAATGGAATATTATGTTGGATCCCATCCAAACCAAACTCATGTAGCATATACTCCTATAATGAGGTGCGTGGAAAATGCCTTTCACCGACAGCGGACCGGCAACGGTGTGCGTTATCTCGATTGCTATGAAACTGAAACGGATTATCGCTTGATTAAGTCAAGATCAAAAGCACGACTATTTTTGACATGCTCTTTCCGTCTATGGTTGTTGTCAATGATTGTTTTGTCCTGTGAGTTTTGGAAACAATTGATAAGAGCTCATCTTAGGAGATTGCGATTGAGGCCGGATCCGAAGAATCCCGAGTCCTTTTGTTTCTTGGAATTTTATCACGTGACTTTTTGGCGCGAGAATTTTAATTTCCATTGTCAACCATGTTGGTTTTTTAACAAAGAAACATGATACAAACAAGAAACAAGACTTTTCTCCTTTTAACCATATTTTACCCCTAAAAATGTCTGGTAAAACATCAAGTAACGAATATTTACAAGTCGTCTTCCTGATCGACGAAAATTCGTCGAATATCAACGACAGAATCACAGGAAAAGATGCTTCTAACTCAGTTTGTTTGTGTGTTTTGAGGATTCTTTCGTACATCAATGAACTCCGAGATCAAAATAACTCCACTCTTCGTTGGGGATTTAAATTCTACGACTCCAGATCTCTGAATCAAAGATACCAGAGACATAATTTTAAAGAATTCTGCGTTTCTGAGTTCGAACATTTTGAGAAAGACGTCAGCGAACGCTTTGAGGAAGAAGTAAAAGGTCGAGCACAAGAACAAAATGATGAGGAAATGTCTACTCATACGGATGATGAATTTGCTTCTAATACGACTACAACAAGACCAACAGCTTCAAAATCTCTCACTTGTGCGTTAACTGATCTTGTTCATGATTTCCAATGGGAGATCAATGACTTGAATTCTCCTTTACGAACCACAAGGCGATCAAATCTACTTCAAAACAATGCTCGGAGAGCTAACAATATCGTGTTTCTGTTCTCAAAATGTCCGAGGAATTTGAACTCTCTTCGCGAATTTTGTGGCTTCAAGGTTCAAGATTTAAATTCTTTGAAGAATGCTATGATGTCTGATGCTCTCTTTAGAGAATTTAATGAAGTTTATAAGATCAATCTGAATTGGATTAACACTGAGTATAGTGATGTTATGGTGAGTGAAGCGTGGATTTTTAAAATTGTTTTCAAGTTTCTGCGAAATCAACAGTTTCTAGAGACTATGGTAGAGACTAGATAAACTAGTTAGTTTCTAGAGACATTTAGTCAAGGTTTTTGGCTTGGTCTGTCATAGATTTGATTGACAACAGAAAAAGTGTACCTCGTCTGGGATTGTGTGGGCCGCAAAGAAGGAAAAGCGCTCTAACTGAAATGCACCTCAGATCAAAGTTTCAATAGAGTGGTTTCCAGACAGTCACTCTGAAGGGCAAAACAAATGAAATGTTCCCCTTGGGAATACTCCATTTTATTACAGTTCTGTTCAGTGACCTCAAATAATAGTTCCAATCAAGGTGAGGGTGGAGTTGCCGCGCATGATAAGCTGTAGTTTTGCTGTGTGAGGAAATTCCAAACTCGACATGAAACTATCATTATGTTCATGGTCACTGAACGGAACTGTAAAATAGAGTATTGAACTCTTGGAGGTTCAGAATAGCATGGTGGTAAATCACTCTCCTCTCTTCTCTGAGGTCCAGGCTTCAATTTCCAGTTGCCCCATGACTCTGAGGGTTTTTCCTGCTCTCCATTTTTTCCTCTCTCGTTTGGCCAAGTTTTGTTGACAATTTTAAGAAGATTCCAAATTTTTTAGCTAATTTCTATTGCAGTGTCCAATTAGTTTGTTTTAGGAAAATAATTAGATCATTGTGCTATTGACTCCAACGAACAGTCTAATAAATGGCAAATGATTTGTTTTTATAGGACCAAGATGTTGTATACATGATGGAAGCATTTCTTCAAATGTTCAGCGGCACACTTATTCCATTACAGTCTCTTGTCTGCACCCAAAGTAACCCCTCTTCATCACTGGATTCTTCAATTACAGAGCATTCAAATTCTTCTACACAGTGTGGCCTGATATTTCCAGTCATGTCTGTACTAAATCAGTATATGGGAAAACTTAAGTGTGCTGGAAATGATGGTCAGTCTTCTACTAGTATGGTAAAGTTACAAAATCCTGAAGATAGTGCAGTACCAGACAACTTTTGGGTTGGATGGCTATGTTCTCCAGGTAAATATGGCCACTTTAATTTAACTGAGCACTAACTTTACATCAGTGAGAATCAAGGGTGGTGTTGAGATAGCCAATTGACCCAAGCCTCTGCGGTCTTGGATTCAATTCCTGGAGGTTATTTCAGGGTTTGATAAAATTTGAAAGTTTGAAAGTAATGGAGCAATTCAACCCAAAGTCTTATAGTAATCACTGGTCTTATTTTCTCTGTTCATTTTACAAGCACTTAATGATCTATTTTTATATATTCTTTTTAGGTGCTAAGCCAGTTTTTCACTGTACTCTGCAACTAAGTTCAATGTTGTCATCACATTCATCCAAAAATACAGAGGCAAGGGACTCTTCTTCTACCACAAATTCTACCAGCAAACCAACTCTTATAATAAGAAAACAATCTGGTACTGAAAGCATAGTTTCTTCTCATAACATCTCAACATCTGAATTAGACGTTATATCCACTGAAAGTGAAAACAATRACACCCAGAAAAGTTGTCCGAATGTGTTCTGGATTAAAGGGGCTGTGAGAAGAGATAAAATCTGTCCTTCTTGGTTTCACCTAACAAAAGTTTACACTTGTGTAGCCATGGTAACAGAGAAAGGAAATGAGCTCACTTGGTCAGGACTTTCTGGCTGGTTTCAAAGACTAATGCTGACCTTAGCCAAGCAGAATTTATCGCTGGTATGTGTCCTTTAATCCTGTGGAGTATCAAGGGTGTTGTGAGCTGAATTTATTAGGTCTCTCCCTTGATTCAAGCATTTTTCTCTGGGTTCTACAGTTGTAACTCCATCCACAAAACCTAGCATCCTAAATTCCAATTCAACCTATGAGTAAACCTTGTCCTAACTTAGTTCAATCCAGAGGTTGTTTCAGGGTTTGATCTGTGAGTTAGCTGTGCCCTGACTTAGATCAGCACAGAGGTTAGTTCAGGGCTGGATCTGTGAGTTAGCCATGCCCTGACTATAAGATCAGCACAGACGTTGTTTTAGGGTTGGATAAAATGTTTAGTTTTATATTATGTGTCAACTTATAACTATGGTAACCTTGTATAATATTATCTTGTGTATTTTAGGTCATAGAGCTGAGAGATCCAGAGTCTGGGATACCTGTCACTTCAGTACTCCAGCCTTTGACATCTGTCTGTGGTGTTCTCAGCATTGTTAACTCCAGTAAACTTCTTACACTGGAAAAACTTCTTCTCTGGAATCAGAGAAACTCCTCTAAAAGAACAGTAGATAGCAGTGAATGGCTTTTAGATGAGGGTTGGAATATTCCAGAAACTCCGGATCATGGAACAGCAAGAAATCTAACATCCAGTGAGATTCATTGTCCATTGAATGTACAATCTCCAGGTAAAATATTTTGACTGACAAGATATTTTAAGAAATTATTATTTTTTGTTTTCAAAGAACATTTGCACATGAATTAGTGCAAACACTGTATATGTATTTAGAAATCAGAACTTTATTACAACTACACTATTTAGTATTAACAACACCGATGAAACAATAGGAAAACAATAAACATTGAACTATTTTGTACTTCATAGTGTACAATAAGTAAAATAGAGCGGATGCAATTAAACTGTGAAATAAGATCAAACTAGATACTAACTAATAGTATCTATTGCATCCGCTCTAATGACTGTTTTATGGATTAAGCGTAAAAAAAGTTCTAACTACTTTCAATCAACACTAAAAATCAGAACTGAACAATAGACAATAATCAGTTTTGTGCATATATACATGTAGTATTTAGCACAAAGCAAAGGTTTCATTTTTCCTTTTTTTTCTCTCTCTTCTAGCTGGCTGTTCTTCTGTAGCTTTTTCTTCACAAGATCTCAATAGTTGGTCTCTAGGATTGGCTTGTCTGGAAAAAGGACCAGATGTTGTACAACCATCTTCAGAAAAATGGTAAAGTACACTTCTTTCTTTTGATTATTAATAAATTTCTTAAAAAAACTTTCTCTTTGAATAAAAATATCTGTGTAAGAGTTAAAGATCCCTTTTTGCTCTTTTATTTTAAATTCAATGCTATTATACTGTAGTTCTGATGATGGAACCACTCAAGAAAGCTCTTTGATAAAAAAACTCAAAGAACTGTACAGCAAGAAAAGAAGTAAGAAACCAAAGCTTGAAGTCAAGAAAACCAAATTAAAACACTTGGAAAAAAGAAAGAAAGAAAAGAAGATGCATGAACAAGTTAAAAAAGAACTTAAAAAGGAAAAACCATTGCTCAGGTAAACTACCAAATGCTTTGTGCTGCTGCATTAATAAATTGGGGTTCTTTACTGACCAGGAGGTCCAAATAGGGAAAAACTGTGCCAGAGGTCCTGAATAACATTTTGTTCCACAGATCTCAGCAGGTATACACCTATTTCAAGAAATACTGTATTGTTAGTCAGAGATTTGAAATCTGACTGAGACCGAGTAACACACTGCAAATTGCYGAGCAACATACTTTTAGTCCATGGGCCAGGGCTCGACCATGGTAACACTAAGGGGGACAAATTGTGAGTTATGCCAGGTTAAAGGTCACCTAAAGTTGTTTCAAAATTTATATGATAGCATTCCTAAAAGAGTAGCTTTGTGGTATTTTTTGTAACATCAAATTATTGAAAAATATCGATT